GAGTGTAAGGGTGGGCTGTTCTGTAATTTAGTATAACCCGGCGGCATTCTATTCAGTCTTGGCTTTTCACTCTAATGAACGATAGAGTGGCTCTCTTTCGCCTACAGCCCAGACACTCAAACGTTTATGAGGGTTTGATTTTTTTTTTGTATGCTTCCTTACATAATTAATTTATTATTAACACAATATAAAATTATGCACATAAAGGAATTACCTAATGTTCTATGTTACACTTGGCGCCTAGCATTCGCTGGAGCATTCCTGATTGTGTTTTTCGATACGTGTTCTGGAGTTTGTGCGTGCCTAGCACTGGTTTTATTAGGCGTGGTTTTGTCGTCTGAGTGTAGCAAAACACCGATATACTTTTATTTATTCAAACGATTCAATCATTTCAAAGGGGTCATCTCACACCAAATAAAAAACAATGCTACTAATATAAGCATTTTCAACAATAATTATCATAGAATCCGTTATTTATACATAGGGTTCAAAGGGGGACCGCATTAAACCGGCTTGTATTATCATAGATAAAACACACGTCGACATAGGGGTATAGGAGTATTCTCATATAGCTCGTCTTTTCTTAATTGTGGTGTATGTGTTGTCTCCTTTGCGCCTCTCTTTCTGCCTCAACAATACGACTACTGGTCTCATACGGTATAACTGTGCGTAGCCTGTGCGAGCGTACTACTCGCTAGCCGAGGGCCCACATCCTCTACCCTCTTCCCAGCCGCAAGAACAAATGGGCTCGGCATTGGGTGTTGGTGTGGGGTGTACGTTCGAGAAAAAGCAGATAGCCGAACACGCGGCTAAAGAACCAGTTTTCCAGTCACGAAAGAGAAAGATAGTAAAGTCCTCGTTACAGAATCGTTGACCGGTTAACATACACAACTCATAATATAGCATCCGGTTGCATCTTCTGAGATCATTCCGTTTTTCTCCACGTTCCAGCTGCTCAAACCGCAGTTTTGCCACTTCAAAGATCCGGCTCTGAGATTCATTTCGTTCGCGTCCGACACATCACTACTGGCAGTAGAAACTTAAGTCGACAGAAGAAGTTGTGCTTTCACCAATAAACATACAGGGACTGACTGGACTGATAATGGGGACAAATGGTTGACTGACTTGACACTGATATGCAAGATTGTCCCTACTCCAAGCAGACAAGGAAAGGGTTGATGTATGTATGTTTTTTTCAGGAACAGGAAGATGACAGCGACATCCTAGGGTCGCATTAACTTGTGTGCTATGCAGACTTAATATTGTAATTGTTCATTTCTATGTGTATTTACCACCGGTGTGTTATTTTCATGATGTGGTGGCAGATTTCTTTTCCTATGTTTTAATCATATCACATTAGTAATAGTAATATTATTTCCTCACTTCTTCAATCATCTTTCCTAATATAATATTAGTCCACTAGTTCATATATTGCTTCTCATCCCACTAATTGAACCATGAAATCAGAAACACAGGCTTAAAATACTATCTGGTCTTCTTGAGCTTCATTACAAGATCCTACTATGTGTTAGTAGGATTAATACATTTTGTGCTCCTTGAAGGTTAAAATATCAATACTACACTCTCAATATCAGGAGAGCAAATCAATATGCCCTTCTTGTTTCAGAAACATCTAAAGTCAGGTTCAGCTAAATCCTAAGTGTTTGCGAGTTCACCAAGTGGATGTAAAGGTGTTGTTAACACCTTCAACAGGTGATGGGATGTGTGCCACTTCTATGATTTTTGTTAGCCCCATATGGAGGACCACAAGAGCCACGCACATCAAAATAAAGAATTCTGTGCTTAAATAATGAATTGTAGAATACATTCTCCATTTGTGAAATACTTTTTGAATTCCACATTAACAAAGTGATTTTTTAAAATGTTTTTTAAAAACCTCATTACCATCCTAGGGGAGCTAGGATGGTAATGAGGTGCTTGGAAATGTTGTAGTTGGCTGAGTTTATACTGCTACAACATTTCCAAGCTGGACTCCTTTGTGAAACTATGGAAGTCCATATATACAGGGTGTCGCATCCACTGGGTAAAGGCGGTGGAACTATGGAAGTCCATATATACAGGGTGTCGCATCCCCTGGGTAAAGGCGGTGACATACAGGACAGTCAGTGGCTTTTTACCTTTCAGGTTCTTGTAGGCAACTGATGACTTTCTTTTTGTAGTTGCTTCTGGGGTTTTACCTTGAAGCTTCATGGGTATTTTTTGTCACTGAGGAGTGTAGTAATTTTTATTTGCTCTGCTTCTTTTTGTCAGGGATAAAATACGTCTATATAGTTTTTGTGTCCCAGCTGAGTAACAGGAGGAGAAGGGTCTGGTGGTGCAGCATAGGAACAATTTCAGCCATTTGGACTCAGCTCAACCACTACAGTGGAAACAATGTTTTCAACACAGAAGGTGAGAAAAATATCACAGTTACACTGTTATTGAAACTGTGTGCACAGCTGGTTGGTTTTTAAAACACGTTAACAGCAGCTTTATCTTTTCCATCCTGGGCTCCTCCATATATACAGACTCTACATTCACAACCAAAAACCACTGAAGTTAGAAGAAAATACAAAGATCATATTTTATCAGCACATATTGAAACAACAATATCATCTGTTGAACTCAAAAATTTTTAAGAAGTAAAAGATTTTCTCCACTTATCAGTATTTCTTCAAGAATGTCATTTTCAGTACAACTCTCATTGCACATCATTGTAATGTGACACTTGCACATGGACCACAAGGTGGTGGTAACACACCAACAATGTGTTTTTTGTCACATTAAATTCCACCAATGGAGGGAGTTACAGTTTGTTCCATGACTGCATTTCACTCACTGCCTCTGTTTGTATCTCTGTCACTGCAGGACCAACATGGAGCGAGAAGTCAGCGCTCTCAGGAGGCCGACAAACCTCACAGAAGAAAGGGAGAGAACATACAGCTGTGATGTGTGGAAGTCTTTTACGGCTGGAGCTTAAAAAGACACCAACTCATCCACAGTGGAGTTAAACCTTACAGCTGTGATGAGTGTGGGAAGTCTTTTACCCAGGCTGGGCACTTAAAAACTCACCAACTCATCCACAATGGAGTTAAACCTTATAGCTGTGATGAGTGTGGAAAGTCTTTTACCCAGGCTGGAGGTTTAAAAAACCACAAACTCATCCACAGTGGAGTTAAAGAGTACATCTGTGGCTTGTGTGCTAAAGCTTTTGCTCGAAATGAACACTTACAGAAGCATCTGGTTACCCACTCTGGAATTCAGGTGTACAGCTGCGACTCTTGTGGAAAAACTTTCAAAAACATACAGTACCGAAATATTCACCTACTGATTCACACTGGAAATGATGTTTACTGCTGTGATCAGTGTGGGAAACCGTTTACAACAGATGCACAGTTACAACAACACATGTTTAGCCACACTGAGGAGAGACCTTTCAAATGTGACCTGTGTCAGAAGACTTTTAAAACTCCATATCACCTGAAAAGACACCAACAGAGCCACACCAGAAAGTAACTCTACAAGTGCAGTTACTGTGAGGATGTATTTATGTTTTATCTTGTAATTGTAACCTGACAGGATATTTCTACTCTTAATAATATTGCAGAAATGGAACAAAGTAAAGATTCATCGATTTGCTTCTGCTTATCCTTTTTGGGATCGTGAGGGCACTGGAGCCAATCCCAGCAGTCATAGACAGAGAGACAAGAGTCTTAAATACTTGCTTAATATTTCCATTGATGAATGAATCTTGATTAAAGATTCCTTATAGTGTTAATGGAGGCCAAGGTACTGCATCCAGAAGATGATAAAATCCTTATTTTGTTGATAAAATTGGCACAGAGCTTCTGCCATGCATTACCAAAGATTCACATCAAACTTATCCCATTCTTGGTTGCTTTAATGAAGATTTTTTTATTGTCACAGTTTGATACTGATGATTAGGGATGGGCATTAATACGATTTTCACTATTCCGATTCCATTTTCGATTCTGTTTAACGATTCGATTCTTTATCGATTCTTTTTAAAAAAGGAGAACACGAAGGTCGATTAGCTTAGAACTTTGTTTTATATCTTCTCTTTGAACAAGATAGAAATTTAGGAGTAACATGGCCTTACAAAGCCACCAGTGAGATCTTAAGAGATCCACAGCCTACGGCTCTTCAATGGGGTGTCACAGGGTCCCCAGGAAAAATTTTTTAAATGCAAATTAATAAAATAAATATTCTTCTGTAGCAATAACAAAGTATAACATAAATTATTCTCTAGCAATTACACAAGAATATCCAGTAATGTCCCTGTCTACAATTAAACACATTCAATTACCGCAAATCGGGGAATCTGCTGTGGCAAATGGGTGCAAGCCTTTTACCACAAACTTAGTCACTGCTC